AAATAAAGATTTGTTGTATTCCAGTAGTTAGTACAGTAACTTATCAGCTGTGACATCAGTCATAGAGCATAGAGTTTGGACAAAGTGACAAAAGTCCAGAGTAAATTTTTGTCCCATTTTTTTACCAGGTTTATGAAACATGTTATTAAAAAATAATCACAACTTGAGGTGATATCAAGAAATCAACATATTCAATCAAACATTATTTTTCTGCGGCTCTTATATTGACGTGTTCTCTGGCAGGAACACAGCCTGAGAGTGTGAGAGACTCCATGTGAGCTGGGTTTGTCTGGACAGACATCCAGACAAAAACTGGAAGGAAAAGTGTTAACAGTGATTTCTCTGAAAACAAAAAACATAAAAGAAAAACACTATAGAGTTTTGAACTTGGGTTTTATGTGAGCGAGCTTTATTCATCTCACCAACCCGTCAAATCATGTTTGGGTCAACTCCTCTATTTAACCGTGCACTCATGATTGATTGATTGAAAAATAAAAGTCTATATTCAGTCAAAAACACAAATCATTAATGACATGAAAGGAAACAGACTGTTATATATTTCCCATTTCTCCCAAATAAATTGAAACAATAACAATACAGTATAATATGGAGAAAGTATAATATAAGTTGTCCTCAGTTTTCTGTCTGTTTTGTATTTTTGACTCAACCAGGGCGGTGTTGGGTTGTCCTTATGTAACAACCTGGCAGGTACCAGAGAAGAAGATGACAGTGGGACCAGCTCACCAAAGGTAACACTGTTGAACTAATTAATTACTAATAGTTTAGAAAAAAACATTTTGGTCTGTTCAATATAGAAGTTAGATTTAGTTTGCAGTCAGGCAGTAAGAACCTACCAAACTATAACATGCTGTTTATAGTGTGGCACTTTCAGTAAAGTAAACTTTTCTTTAACGAGTCTGAGCACTGATCAGTCAGAATCTGATCTTTAGCTGTGAATCCTAAAGCTCTGATGCCCTGCCTGTCAACAGGACATGGACAGATCAGACATAGATGAAGACCCAGAGGACACAGAGATACACAACACAGGGGGCAAGAAGATGGAGGAAGGGTCTACTTTGAACCCCAACCTCCTGAGCCAACTGGACTTCTACCAAGACAACCCGTTTACTCACTGCCAGGCTGATGGTGAGTGTCTGCATCTCTTCTTCTGAGCAAGGATCTGTGTGTGTGTGTGTGTGTGTGTGTGTGTGTGTGTGTGTGTGTGTGTGTGTGTGTGTGTGTGTGTGTGTGT